TTGTTAATTAATATTTGTGTGTAGCAGCAGCAGCAGCTCTGGGGATGATCTCTGCCTGGTCTGAGGCTCTGTGATGAATTATTCACGTGTGTGTGTGTGTGTGTGTGTGTGTGTGTGTGTGTGTGTGTGTGTGTGTGTGTGTGTGTGTGTGTGTGTGTGTGTGTGTGTGTGTGTGTGTGTGTGTGTGTGTGTGTGTGTGTGTGTGTGTGTGTGTGTGTGTGTGTGTGTGTGTGTGTGTGTGTGTGTGTGTGTGTCTCTGTGGCCACCTCTGCTCATCTCTCAGGGGATGGAGCATCCTCAGATGTGTGCGTCTGTGTGTTTGATTGATGGTTCTGCCCGGTTGAATGTAGGCTAACGGGACAACTGGAGCTGAGCGGTCACAGAGAGATGCATTCTGGGAGATTCTGGCAAGAGCAGCTTGGACAGGAGGAAACTCCTGCTGCTCCGCTCGGAGGTTGTGCCTGTTGATGGTGGTTTGTGGAGATGTTGTCAGACTTTGTAGGCAGATCGTAGAGGATGAACCTGCTCTGTGTTGTGTCGTTTGTGCGACTCTCCAGGAAACACTCCAGGTAACAGTGTGAGGATCCATGAAAGTTATTACACTGGAGAACAGGTTACATCGAAATATCAAGACCAACCTCAGCATTACCAGTCCTTTACAAACGGCACTAATTAGCGAAGGTTATAAATGCCGTGTGAGAAAACAGTCCTAACAAAGCTCCATTAAAAAAAATGTGTATAGGCTCAGCTCAGACGGGCATTATATTCTGTTGAGTTGCAAACAAGGTTCAGGGGTCTTATTGTTCTGCACCTGAGTGTGTTTAAGTAACCCAGGCTCTGTGGCGCTTGATAAGACGGTCTGATAAACACAGACTCTCACTGTGCCCTTTATTGAGACAGTATTTATGTTTCCGATGGCTCCTCTCTAAAACATGTGCAGAGCTGAGACAAGCTGTGGTATCATTGTTTCTTTATCACCAGAGAAAAAAAAACCTGGCTAACATACACTAAATGTAAGCCCAGTTACTCTTCCTCCTCCTCCTCCTTCTCTTCAGGGGAGATTTTTTTTTTTTTTTTTTTTTTAACAGTTTGTGGATTATTCTGGATATCAGTGAGCAGCCTGTCAGTGCAGCCGGCTGCAGAAACATGCCAAGCTCTCCTCACACATATTAAAGCTCAGCCCAGACGCGCTGATGAAACCACCCGCAACCACTTGTTTACCAAAAGACCCTCGACTGTCTCTGAATGATTTGCACTGCATGGTATGGAGAGGCGGGAAGAAGAAAAAAAAAAACATGGAGACACATAGTTAGAAAAGTCAAAGAGCTGGATCCTTCAGAGAGAGAAATGTTGCAAGTGGGGAACGTTTGTGCATTTTCTCCAAATCATTTCTCTATTTTGTAGTGATGCTTAAAAAACCGTCGACTCAGTTCTTTCCTCTCTCAAGTCAAGTCTGTTTGACTTTGTGTTGTTGATGAAAACCCCAATTCTGAAAGCGTGTGGATGATGCTTAAAGAGAGACTCAGAATTAAAGGATTCCTCTGAAATAAGTGAATATTGACACAAAAACATAAAGTTGATTATTCAATTGAATTTATGTTGTTCTCTTTTTGATTGATATGTCACACTGTCCCAGTTTCCACAGACTCAGACTCCTTTTTGAATGAGGAAAGTGTATTCTTAACAGGGAACTGCTTTGAATCAAAACCAAAGCGTTTTTACAAAAACATTTTCTTGAAGACTGATTGTTGACTTGTTGTAGCCGGACAAAAAAAACCTTCTTTAAATATCCGCCTGCTTTGCATTTCTGCTGACCTCTCAGTCAGATGTTCTCCAACACACGGAGCTGCCTGCAAGGTTTTTTTTTTTTCTTTTGACATGCAGAAAAGGAGAAAGCTCTCCACACTGTTCAGCTCCCAATGAGCGACTTTATTTCTTCAGGCCTCAAGATGTTGCCCTCGCTGTTTAAAATAAAGTTGCTCATTGTGAAGAGCTTTCTCTCTTTTTTTCTGCAGTTTATACTTTTTTTTTTTTTAAATCCTGCACCTGTTTGCATTGCTGCTTGGATGTACACACACTAGTTTTTCTTCCTTTTGTTTTGACATCACATAACAAATCTCAGCTCAGGGTTCATGGGTCTGAAACAGGGACTGAACCTGCAAATGAAGAATGCAGAATGAGTGACGACATACATTTAATATCTAAAGTAATCATGAAATATGTACACGTCTAAGCTGAATCTTTTAGACCTCAACTAAAAAGCTTACAGAGCGTACTGTTCCTTTTTGTGAGGAGGTGTTTTCAAATGTCTTGAGTCTGTAGCCGAGGTGTGGAGACGAAAAGAGAAATGCTCTTAAAGCTTTCAGTGAAGTCTTCATGATCTCGCAGCAGTTGTGTGAAAGAAAATCTGACAACAACAAAGACAATTATCCATCAATGTACCAATAAACTTATCTCCTAAACTCTACAGTATAGTATATTACAGCACATTAGTCAGCAGTGAAGTCAGACATGTTTAAATGTTCCACATCTTACTGCTGTAAATGACTCTCCTGGCCATTTCCAGCATGCATATATTACCAAACTTTCACACTAATGGATGTGTGCAAAACCAAACCAAACATCTCAGCTGAGTCATTTAGAAATAAACGTCAGGTCTAAAAGAAAATGCCGCCAGACAACAGCTCGTACTGTTCCTGTTCGTGAGGAGGTGTTGTTTGTGCTGAATAGTTCCTCAAAATAAAATGATCGGTGAGTCATCAGAAGGACGAGTCTCACATCCCACGACCACTCATCAGGACTTTACAGCCAGGAGCAAAGTGAGCGATCAGTGGGAGAGAACACAAGAGTACAATAAAGACACTGTTTGATACTATGTGTTTCAAAACGGTTCAGTCTCTCTTATCTTAATGATTAGTAAAGAAAAGTGCCAGAAAGAAAGCGAGCACTGTCTCTATACTGCACAAATATTGTAGCCGTGGTACATTTGAACAGGTATCAAAAAAGCTTGAAGGAAGAATGTGTGACTTTTTGATCCAGTAGATGTCGCCCTTGAGCACCAGCATGAAACCAAAACAAACTGCTGTTTGGCCACGCTCCTCCATACTGAAGCCTCCGCTCTCCTCCAGAGACACACCTCCAACCCCTCTCCACTCACATTCACATAAAGTAGTTATCAATAAGAACGCACCATAATTAATTAAGCATAGTTAAGGCAAGCTGCAGACAAAATTGGCCTTTGCTCGAGCTGCTATCACCTGTGTCCTGCATTGTTGTGTTAGCAGGCTAATGTTAGCGCTCTTTAGTTAGCTCGTAGCTTGACATCTAAATAATCAGTGAGTATGTTTTCTTCTTCTCTCTAGTCTTGACTAAAACATCTTTTATACACAAGGGGAGGAGCCCGCCGTCCAGTCCGTGTAAACACAACTCTGACAACAACACAGCCAGTGGGACTCGAGCTTCTCACTCATTGTAGACAGTCATGACTCAGAGACACATTTACACAGAATGGACTTTATTTCTGCTGAATTTATGTGTAAAATATCGCTAATTCTGCCTCTAAGAATTTGGTATAATGACAACCTTACAATTCAGCAGATTCTTAGCCTCCAGTCTGAGGAGTCGCGTGGATAACCAGATGTAGAGAGTAACGTTTTCCCCTCTCTTTGTTTTCTCAGCAGAAAGACAGTGCAGTGTGTAAATGGTAGTAGGGACTATTTTTTTGTATGCATCTTAATAAAATGCCTGAACAGAGAAAAGAGTGTGAGCCTGAAGAGTTCCTGAGGGGGGAGCAGGAGACGATCTACACGCAGAGATGATTGGCCCATGGGCTGCTGGGAGGGGGGGGGGACGATACAACACGACTTCAGCGAGCCCCCAGCGCTCAGCCCTGTCTATTCAAAATCCATGAATCAGCAGAACACACACACACACACACACACACACACACACACACACACACACACACACACACACACACACACACACACACACACACACACACACACACACACACACACACACACACACACAGGGCTGAGGGCTGATGAGACAGACAGACTGCATGCTCAGCTGTCTGTGTCAGGGCTTTATGTTCTGCAGCACTAAGATGAAACACAAAGGATGGAGCTGCCTGAAATTAATGTGGACGTCTGCATTACATCGACTTCTTTTTCAGCTTCTTTATACATATATATTCTATATTATGCAAAACATTTTTTTTTTTTTTTACAGTAGATGGCATTGAACCTGCAGTGAATCAGTGAATGCACCCTTCAGTCCTTCTCCCATTCAAATGTCTGAGGCTGCAGCCGAGGTGTGGAGGTGAAAAGAGAATGCTGAGTGTCTCTTTTTTTTTTTGTTGCTGGAATCATTTTAAAGCTTTCAGTGATGTCCTCATTATCTCACAGCAGTCGTGTTTTCTTCCAAATTGAAGAAAATCTAACAACAAAGAAGACAATTATCAATCAATGTACCGATTAACTTATCTCCTAAGCTCTATGTTTAGTGTTTTACAGCACATTAGTCAGCACTGAAGTTAGAATCGTCCACATCTTACTGCTGGAAACGGCTCTCCTGGCCTTTTCCCAACAGCCATTTTTCTTAATATTTGACATGCAAATATCACCAGACTATTCATACAAATGGATGTTTGCAGACCATTTATTTTCATCCCCTCAAAATGTATCCAATTTGTAAGAATTGCATATTTCCTGGCAGCAGAGTTGTTTGCATTCATTTCAGTTAAAGCAAGAAAAAGTGGTTATTTTTGACACAGTTTGTGTACTCTGCTTCCATGTTCCCCTACAATCCTACTCATGTTTTATGCATTCCTTCCTGATTAAATCATTTTACCATATTTTTCTTGAGTTTAGATAACAGTCCAGCAAGAAACCCTCAAAAAAATTCCTACAAATGAAAATGCAGCCTGCAGCAAACTAACATGTCCTTCTTTCTCCCCCCCGTCTGTCTTTCCTGTGTGCAGGGTGCTAGAGGGAGTGATGTCTGCAGGCGAGGAGGAGCGAGATGGTGAGGCGGCAGCGCCCGTGTACGTGTATGAATCAAAGGTCCACTGTGCCAACGTGCTGTTGAGCCTGGAGGAGCAGCGGCGGCAGGGCATCCTGTGCGATGTGACCCTTCTGGTGGAGGGGAGGGAGGTGCGCGCTCACAGGGCCGTCCTCGCCGCGAGCAGCCGCTACTTCCTGCAGGCTCTGCTGGGACACAATGGGTCAGCAGGTGAAGCGGAGCCCATCATTAACCTGCCAGACAAGGTAAAGGACCACGGAGAACATGTGACTCACTGGGAATAGTCTCATTTTAAAAATAAATGTTAACCTGGAATCCTGAAAAACTGCACAGACTGAGGGGTCATCCCACTTTAAGATGGAAACTAAGTGTGAGCAGCAATAAGTAACTGAAGCTTTATTATCTTTATCTTGTTTGGGTAATTTTGCCTTTCTTTCAAGGGATAGAGGAGGAAATGAAGAAAAAAGAGATGGGGGGAATAAGATGCGGTAATGGAGCCACAGGTCAGATTTGAACCCAGGACCTTTGCTTGGAGGACTAGCCGAACGCCATCAGTGCCCCCTGCTTTATTGCCATTATGCTGATATGCAAAACAAAAAAACAAAAAAACAAAATTGTGCACAGATTTATAAACTGTGAGAACGGAATTACAAACAGCTATTTAATATTTTTTTCTTATAATTTTTTTTTTAATTTTTTTTTTTCTTTTGGTAGAAAACTATAGTTAATAAAAAATAAAAATAGATCAGTTATATGTACACTTAAAAAAAGAATCTGAACGGGACCACTTGGTGCTCATGTGCCTGGGTCAGACAATAAACGACACAAGGATAACTTGTGGACCTTAAACACAATCCTAGCAGAAGCTCAGTCTCCACCAATCAGCTGGAAAAGTGCAGCAAGACTTTCAAATAGGATATTCTTAAGTGCCTCAAATAACTACCATGATGAAGAAAAGTACGGTGCGAGCTTGACCGTCCTTGGACAGAAAAGGTTAAAAGAGGAGGACGACTGCATGGATGAAAACTACAGAGCTGACACAAAGTGATGTGTTTATGAAAACACCAGGTGCTATGAATATGTATGAGGTTACCTTGTTGTTTTCTGCTGCTTCCTCTCACCACCGGGGCTGATCAGAGAGCAGCTCCTGATCCCAGCGGCTGACATTACCATACAATGGCCCAGATGTGTCATATTGATTAATACGTCTGTGTGGCTCTGCCTACCTTGTACACTAATCACTCGCACTGGTCCCCACCATGTTTGATCCCCCTGTGACTCCCCGCCTTATTTTCTGCGTCCTCTCTGCCGTCCGTTCCATCACGCTCGTGACTGGAACTCGTGGCTCAGAGCTTAACAAGCTGGCTGTCCAATACTGTCGTGCTCCTTGCCAGCTGCACAACAAATCATTCTACTACTACTTAGTTTTTTCTGCATCAATCTCTGGAGCCAGAAGTGATCATACACGAACGAGCTAACATATTAGCAAGCTGACGTTGGTGATTCTTTCAAACGACACATCTCTTTTTACTCTGTTGCTTCATCCACCACTTCCTCGTCATTCCTCTTAACGTCATGTCTTGCCTCAGGAGTCCCCCCCCCCTCCTTTCTGCCCGGGATAATGTCCCGCTTTGAGGTGCGGGTGTGAAACACCAGATCAGGAGGATTTCAGCGGCAGTCTTCCTGAAATCTTAAAGACATTTTCAGGAGAGCATATGTGAAAACGGCTCAAGTTTACAACTTGAGTTGCAAACTCCGCGTTATTCCTCTGAGACATTTACAGCAAAGATGATTGTTACAGGGGTGTAAAAGTCGAGCCTTGAACTGGCGATATAAAAAGGGTTATAATGTGGCTAATAAACTTGAGAGTTTTAGGAGACCCCGGGGCCGTCCAAGCCCCAAAAAATTCCTCTCCAGCTTGACAGCCCACATCATTTCTCAAATGCATCATGAAGGAAATAAAATAGGAAAGCAGGAGTCTGAAATGGTTAATGTTCAATCCTACTCGTGGATTATTACCATTTCTCTCTCACTTTACCGTCTCATCGAGGTTGGCTCCTCTTCTCAGCCTATTAAGATGTTTCTGCAAAGCTGCTGACGCTAGCCCAAAATAAGCTTACATGCACAGCAGCACACACACACACACACACACACACACACACACACACACACACACACACACACACACACATGCATACATATTTTCATCTGCACACACTCATAGCACATATATAGAGTAAACACATACATACTGCACCACACCATAACATACACACACAGTAGCAGCCATGTTTACGATATAGGGGAACATGAAGAGAGCAGAGATGGGGGGGGGGGGGGTGAAGGGTGGAAGAGAGGGAACAGACCAAAGGATCCAGAGCATGTAAGATGTATAAAGCAGGAATGTGGCCACACAAGCATCTTCTCATGTTAATGAAAATATGATGAACATTTTTGAATCAAATCAAATTAAAAAAAAAAGATAATATTTTGTTGTAATGTATGTTACATTTAAATTTACCACTTGAATTAAAGTCAAGGGGTAATTTCATTTTCTCCATGCCTTTAATTAGCAGTTTAAAAATACCCTTCTTACAGCAGATGGGCCCCAAGAACACCCTGGACTTTATTTCCCCAGAGACGTTCAAAGCTGATAAGTAAACAGATGTCTGGCATTGCTCATAAGTCACCCCGTCTTGCTTATACTGTTTTTAGAAACAGTAGAAAGCTATGTTGAAGATGATGAAGCTCATGTCACATTTTGCTGTTGCCCGGCCCTCGTCTTAGTGCTGGTGCTCCACACAAAAAGAAATGTCCTAATGCAACGTTCACTCTTTAAGGCATTGATGGTGAGCCATTTGTTTATCTGTTGTTTCTTCTCTGCCGTCCTCCACAGGTCACAGCTAAGGGCTTTGCTCCACTACTCCAGTTTGCCTACACAGCCAAGCTCGTCATAAGCCGGGAGAACATCCACGAGGTCATCCTGTGCGCTGACTTCCTGGGTGTTCACAACTTGGAGGACTCCTGCTTCCGCTTCCTCCAAGCCCAGCTGCAGAACGACAGCGAGCACGCCAGTAACGGGAAGGTGGAATACAGCAAAGACACCACAGCTGAGGATACAGTCTTCTCTGAGGCCATATCCTCGAGTGAGTCTTGTGAGACAAGGCAGCAGACCAATCATGTAGCAAGTACTGCTCCCCTACCCGCTGACCTTTCTCAGTTTCCCAAGTACAGGAAATATCAGTACCAGATCTGTGAAAATAAGCACAATGGAGAAAACCATGATGACATTGATGATGTCCTTTTGGCCAATCATACCTCAGTCAGCCCTGTGAGATCACAGCTCGCAGACAGCAATGCTGCTCCACAGAGCCTTCTCTCTCCCTCCAGGATCAAAGAGGAACCGTTCATGTTTGAGGAGGAAGAAGAAGAAGAAGAAGAAGAAGAAGAAGGAAGGAGTGGCTGCATTCCAGAAATGTGTACTGAGGAGGTGCTGGAGATGGAGCTAGAAGTGGAAGGGGTTCCAGTAGCACCTGAGCACTCTCCGAGCAGAGGTTCACCCTCCTCCTGCCTGCGCTCCTACCTCCAGAGAGGTGGCCTTGATCTCAGCTGTGTGCCGAGCACCACCATCCAGCAGCTACTCACCAACAGACTGTCCCTCAACCACTACAAGGAACTGGTCAAAGACAGGCACAGGGACAAGACAGAGTCCCTAGATCAAGTCGACCTAAAGAGCAGCATTGCAGATGTTTTACCAGCTGGCGTTGGTAAGAGAATGGAAAGGCCAGTTTCCAAAGCCTCATCTTCAAAGTATGAAGGGGAGCTTGACAGACGAAGTGTCATATTCTCTTCAGCAGCTGGCGAGCAGCAAATGTTGGCCCACTCTTACATGGAAGAGAAGTTCAGGGAAAAAGTCTCGACTCTCATGCAGGTAGAAGCTCCTTCTTCGGGTCGGTCATGCCTCAGCACCAGCTGCCCTGTTCCCATCAAGACATCAGCCCAGTCCCCTTCTCCGTCTGAGCCCCGGACCCAGACCTCCAGCTCTCGTTCATCCTTCTCGTACCCGGAGGACGCAGGCAGTGGTAGCTCACCTTCCAGCCTTCCACAGTTTGACTTCTCTTCGTCCCCAAACTCAGGCTCCGCCTCTGGACTGTCTCACTGCCTGTCTGTGGGAGTGGAGCCGAGGAACCCCCATAGCGGAGAGCTTCTCTTCTCCCAGGGCTGCAACAAGATCAAAAGTGAACGGGGATTTGGTGCCAGTGGCGGCAACTCCAGCGACGAATCAGGATCGTTCTCTGAGGGAGACAGTGAAAGTGGGATGTCCAGAGTCTCTGGCCCTGAGGTTAGTACATCCTTAATGACACATTCTTAACAAAGAGTCTGCTTTGTCTAAATCAAGGTTCATTTATCTCTGGCTAAAAGCCCGGGGTGGGGACTTTGGAGCATGCTCAGAACGCTTAGGAGAGTTTGGGTCTGATAGAGGTGTACACATGCAAGAGTGAATCAACACCTGACCACATTAGCTAAGTGTGCTAGTTCAACAGAGGGCCAACCTAGAGCCCAAACCCAGTACATCTGGCTCAAGTGGAGCCCATGTTGCCCAAACCTGGATAAGTCTGGTTAAGTCATCAACTTTAATGATCAGAGGTTCTTCTGTTTCCTTAAAAACCTTAATACAGAAGAAGTTAACAATGCAGAGGAAATATCATCATCAATGATGGTGGTCAAATTGTCAACTGATGTATGAGAGACTGGTCAGGATTTAGTGAGTGGAAGCATTGGAGGTTTTCTTGACCACTTTCAGTTAGCAGAAATGGCAAACAGAGGCTGATGCAACTGCAGGCAACTTCTCTCTATGTCTTCTTAAACCGTGTATAAAGAGTTCCCTCTTGAAGGAAATTGGTGATACAAATTGAACTGAACTCAGTATTGCTCCTGTAGAATATTTGATACACCACCTATATGTCAGATGGTGCCCTGTGAATGATTGGTGACCAGTCCAGGGCCCACTGACAGCTGGGATTGTCTCCAGCACCCAGCCTCCAGCCTCCAGCCTCCCACGACCCCTGACCCCTGAGATTGTTGATGTCAGATGGTGACATTTCTGAACAGCCCAACTTTTTTAGACAATAACACCAAATGGCATGGCTCACATATTGAGGTGTAACCTTTCAGGCTGCACAAGAAATCCATTTTTTTTTTCTTAAATCGCAGAACAGGAATTTGATATTTGCACAGCAAATAAAAAAAATTGTTTTGTATCCAAGCAATACTTTCTCCCTAAGCATGCATATATGTTACCTTTTGTATAGATTATACCTGGCTATCATGAACATGCTTCTACACCATTGATCCAGTCAGTTAAACTCAAGCCAGTTTTCAGATACCCTCAGATTGATTGGTGCCAATTTAGAGTTGAAAACAAAAACAGCTTATTGGATTCATCTTTGATTTTAGGAGGAGCTTGTTTCAAACACAGATATAATAGAAATGTGAAGGTCTTCAGATTAAACTATGAGTTATAACATGTGCACCCTGTAAGGTCTGTTCTTTATTGCACTGTATTCATTTATTTAGCAGGGAAACGTGCAATGAGCATTTCTTCATATATGAAATACAAAGTAGATGCCCTCCATACAGGTTTCTAGCCTTGGCTAATTTGCGACCCGTGTCCCTGTCTCGACTTTGAGGATTAAAAGAGATAACATTAGACTTGAAGAAATACAGAAAAAGTGAAAGGATACAAATGTCCACTTCACATCATTCAGTCTGGATCCATGTTTCCATAGGCGCTCTACAATAAACACAGTGAAAAGTGTGTCACAAAGCTCGGGATTAGAAAAATAATTTATGATTTTGAAAACTCTAACATCTGGTCAGTAATCTTTGTAATAAACTCCCCATGTATTTGACATGTTATTTAGATTTTACTTTCAGATGTCAGTATTGCTCATGGATGGAAAGGTTTTGAAATTGGAAAAAAAGTGAATTGTGCTTCTACCTCAGAAAAACCACCAGCCTCCTATAGAGCCACAGTTTACAGCTCGTGTTTCTGTGTTAGAATCACAGATCATTGATTTTTTTTTTCTTTCTCAGGCGTATCAGAGGTGTTCTCTAAAGCTGGGACTATTCTTAGACGGTTTTTTTTCTCTGCGGAGAAATGACGCAAACACTTCCAACACATACTCCCTGGATTTTAAAGGAGCTGTATGGTTGCTATGGTGACGTCTGAGCACATGCAATATCAGACGGGATTTGAGATGAGTTTCACACTGGAGCTCTCTCTTACACACACAAACAATCTTTGGATATACATATACAGTATATATATATATGGAGAGGTCAGGGCCTCTGGTCTTGGGATGAGTTAACACAGATGTTTTGCAGATGTTGATGCATCATAAGGTGCTCAGCTCTTCTTTATGCATGCTAACATACTGTGAGCGGTGGGCTTTTTATGCCTTTATTTTAGAGCTAGGACAGTGGGGAACAACATGCAGGAAAGGAGCCAGAGGTCGGATTTGAACCTGAGCCGCCCGCTCTCAAGGACTTAAGCCTCTGTACATGGTAGGGGTGGTGACCAGGGGTGGCACCCTTGAGATCTGATTGGCCACCCCAAAAATCCTTCTCTGTGATTGGCTCTTCGCCTTATCTAGCCATTTTTTTCGGGTCCAAAAAATTGCCATTGAATTCATTTTTGTAAGTTAGACAGTGTGCAGTGTTTCTGTCACTTAAAACTTATTTTTGTGTCATTAATGAATCAAGCTAAGAGGATATATATGTTTCCATTATCTAGATAATATGATTGTTGACTATTCATATGTGTGTGTGTGGTTTTACTTTAGGACACCCCTGCACAAGTCTTTGCCCCTGTCTGCCCCCCCCCAATCAAAAAAGTCTGGACACGCCCACTAAAAGTTTAGCTAAAATGTATTAAGTCTATGACTCCTGTCCTACAATAACTCCTGACCCCATCACTTAACAATAAAGACATCAAAATACGATTCATAGTACACTTAGTTTAAATATCCTTAAAGAAAAACTAATAATAAAGTTCTGTGTAACACTGTAACTCACAGACACACGTCACGTTGTGTAGTACAGTGTGTGCACATCTCCACTGTTTACCACTCATGTATACATATGAATATGTGTGTGTGTAGTGTCCCACTTCTTCGTCCTGACCCAGTTGTCTCACCCCTAAGAGTGGACACACACACACACACACACACACACACACACACTCTAGGATGCCCTGTAGGCAGGTGGAAGGTGTCCGGTCCACGTTCCCTTCACCATCTGCTGCTCCTGATCCCAGATCTGCCCTCTTCAATTAGGCCAGCCTACCAAGCCCCCCCCCCCCATGCTTCTTCCCTCCAAACACTCAAAATGTAATCTTCTATATTATTTAAGCTGCAAGTGTTAACATGATGTGCATGTTTGAGTTGCATTAATATAAACTGTAAGGAAGACTGCTGATCAAAAACATCAAGAGCTTTTGTCTTTATCTCTTATGGCTTAAAAAAGGGCTTGAGCTACCATTTAACTTATTCATGTGACAGTATGTACAAAGAGAACTCTCAGCAGGTTACCAAAAGGTCGGTGACTTAAAGTTGTCTCGTCCTAAACCATTAAGAGCCTTTCAAACAAGTAAAAGAACTTAAAAACATCACCCCAGAGACACTGGGAGCCAGTGCAGCTTAGCTTAAAATCAGCTGATGCGCACACTCGTCTTCTTCTGCATTTCTCTTTCTTAATAAATCCTGTGGAAACACAAAGAAATAGGCCCCGCCCCCTGTTTCTTCTATTAAAAAAAAACCTGCACAAAGTACTTTTTGTCATCCATAGTGATCCTGTGTACATTTACTCCCAGGTGTGAGTTTCATCTGGTTAGAGATCAGATTTGTATTCATTTGTATTTTTAGCAGAGGCTGGCAAGGCAGGTAACTGCTCCCCAGACCAGTATAGGGGGGCCACTGAGGGCTCACAAACCTAAAACCAAAGCAGTGGCCCAAATGTGCAAAACCTCCCCAAGGGGACCCCTATTGACAGGACACACACTCGATGGCCAACAAAGAAAAATGAAGATAAAAAGAAAGAGGAGAAAAAGAGGAAGTGGAGTAAGCGTTGGACACTGGCAGACATAAAGTTGATGAACGCTGGTCGGAGGGACCCCGACTGATTCTTGCTCAGGGCCCCAAGAGACTCTAGAATCGCCACTGATTTAGATTTAAGCTAAAATCAGACCCCTTACAGATTGATCTAAAATTCAGAACTATTGCGTCATTTTTGGTGAGTTTGTTTGAAGGATTAGACGGGACTGGGTTTGCTTTGTGTGAAAGATGGATGTTTTACATTTAGTACAAATAATCCTTTAGTTTATCACAATGCAACCTGAGGCTTCCACACATTTTATTCACCTTATTTCCTGTGATAATAAGTTATTTTAGGTTGTTTCCCTTTATATTTGGGAAACCAGCTTTGTTATCCCGAGATAACAAGGACAAGAAATTAGGCGAGATAACAAGAAATCTGCTGGAATTAACGTATCACCGGAAAACCAGCATTACTATCTAGAGATGATGAGATAAACAAGCTGAAATCTGAAGAAAACAACCGGCAGACAGCCAACTTTTAATCACTGAGAAACAGAGTTAATGATAAAATGTATGGACGCCTCTACATATCTAGGGCTTTCTTACAAATGTTTATATGGACGCATGTTTAAAAAAACACCTGCAAGCAACAGAAAGAGCGTCTCCAAGGAGCCTCGCATTGTTAAAAAAGGAAACCAGAACACCAGAGAGAGAGAGAGAGAGAGAGAGAGCGAGAGAAAGAGAGGGAGAAAGAGAGAGAGAGAGGATTTATGACCAACCGAGGCTCACTTTGTCATTCCAACCTTATTATGTGACTGCTGAGAGTCACTGAGCTATATATAGACGTCTATAGAGTAAAGGACAGGCGGCACCTAAACACACACACACACACACACACACACACACACACACACACACACACACACACACACACACACACTCTCACTCTCTCTCTCTCTCTCTCTCTCTCTCTCTCTCTCTCTCTCTCTCTCTCTCTCTCTCTCTCTTTAGCTCTGAGCAGTGAATGATGTCATCGTTGTATACTGGCAGAGCCGCAGCAAACTGATGTACTGTCACAGAGAGTGAACACAGAGCACATGTCGTCCACACTCGTTGTTAAGGTTGTCAAAATACCAGAATTTAAAACTTCAGTTTGAGTCTAGTAGAAATCAAATGATATCATTGCTATTTCGACACCAGGGCATCAACTATTCAAGTCCTACAGGCTCCTAGTTTGGAGTCATTTCATGTCTTTAATTACCAAACAATGAAGGCTAATTTCTGCACACTTTCTTAAAAAAGTGCCAATGTATTTGTGCGATTGAGACGGTGCTCTCTTAATTTCTCTCTTTGTTTATTTCGCTTGCAGCAGCTTTCAGTTAATCATGTGACTAAAGATCTGAAGTTTATTCCAAAGATGCTTTTTGATGCCATTGACCTCTAAAATAGTTCCAAAAGTACCGCATCAATCAAAAACAATCAACGAAAATCTTACGATCGCAAAATGAACAGCTCAGGATTAAAACATTAACATAGAAATAAACAAGCAGATAATAATAATAATAAATAAATAAATCCACTGATAGGTACTTACAGTAAAGAATAGAGAAATCAAAATAAATGTTCAAACATGAACACAATGAAGCACATGTTGAAGTGCTTACATAAGCAAATACAAAAACAAACATAACAGAAATGTGATTAAATCGGTTCATATATATATATCACGATGAAGGAAAACTATATTATTACAATAGGGGAACTACTCATAGTATAAATGTGCTTTATTAAGACCCTTACTCATGTCAATCAGTGAAACAAAGAGCTCGGCCTGTGTTCTCTTTGTATCCGACCTGCTGGCATGTTGAGTCAGTGCAACACTGACACCTGGTGGCTATAACACCACAGTGCACCCTGACAGACAACTGATATGATATCAGAATAATAATAAACTTCATTACCAGGGGGGACATTTGCTTATTAATTTAGCTATTATACAGTTAGGCAGTCAGAAAAATATGAAATATGCATTTCCTGTTTGTTTTGAGTATTCCCTCTCGTGTACTGCTTTGTTGCCTTGGAGGACGGACCAGGAGCTTTGTCATTAAAGAAATGACAACTGATCAGCGTTAAGTAAAGCATTTCTTTGGTGAAGTTTCTGTCGGTAAAAGTGGGAGGATGGGCGATGCTGATAGAGAGGAGGAGTATGTCAGTGTTGTGTGAATACTAAGGCTGAGCTTGTTGTGTGATGTGTTTGTTTGTTTGTTTACTTGCTTGCTTGCTTGTTGTTCTTGTTTTGTTTCGATGTCCTGTTGTTCTTTTTCTGTTGTTGTTGTTGTTGATTCGTAAAATTGTTTTCTGTCTATTTGAAGAAATGAAAATAAAACTTAAGAGCCGACACAACCGTGCTCTTATGCTGCATTCAGGTGCTCCTCGGATGGTCCAGTTTCCGATCTGTTGTCATGCTTCTTAGTGGTTCTTTATTCATTTATTATTTATTTTGGTGTTCTCAGCTCTGTAGCTTTTACACATCAACTTGTTCTATTAATTGTACGATAGGAACCTGCACACTTTATGCACTTTTACACATGTACTGTGCATTTGCACTTTGTATGTTTTATGTATTGTCTGTGTTGTATTAAGTGACTCTCCATGCAACCAACTTTACTGACGGGTACAAATAAAGTAAAATGAACCTGAGCTGGGAAGTTGTTCTTCTGACCTCAGTGTGTTCACATGCTTTCAGTTCGGAAAGTCTGAATTTTGTAAAAACAACAAAAACAAACATTGTGGATGCTGTGAAGAAGACGTGTTAAATAACTCTATTACAAGTTATATTCGAGAAAAGAGTCGATGTGCAATACATGAATTAATCAAATGTATCTTCTAATTAACAAACCATCTTTTGCCTCAAATGTTGATGACGAATATGACATGAGATCAGCACCTACTTCTTTCCCGAGTTTCTGAGATGTTTCGACTTGAGCGGTCGTTCATGTGTATTTTACAACTTAGAGACTGGTTTTTCCCGATGTATCTGACACCACTTGAATGCAGCAATAATCAGGCAGCTGATGTTTATTTGTTGGTTAATTTGTTGAATCAGAGCTGACGTCATGATGAGGATAGGTTGCAGGCTTGTAGACACTTCCTATTTAACATGTCCGGCCTGTTTTAATGAGCTGTTTGTCTTCATGTTTCCTTGCAAGTTAGACAGTATGCAGGAGTTTACCATTAAGACTTAATGGGCACATCAAATGAATAAAGATAAATACAAATGTATCATGTTTTATATAGTGTGAATGAATAAAACCCTTTTGGTCCTTTTAGGTAAAACTGCCCTTCCCTGTAGACCAGATCACCAACCTGCCACGCAACGACTTCCAGATCCTCATAAAGATGCACAAGCTGAACTCGGAGCAGCTGGAGTTCATCCACGACATCCGCCGCCGAAGCAAAAACCGCATCGCAGCTCAGCGCTGCCGCAAGAGGAAGCTGGACTGCATTCAGAACCTGGAGTGTGAGATCCGCAAACTGGTACGAACACATGACAAACACTAACAGAACACTAGCCAACAGAAATGAATAATGTAGAAAAGTTTAATGAAATGGGCATAACTCAAACAGGCAGAAGATATCTCTTTCCCCATTTAGATCTATACATTAGGTTACAGTCATTGGGGGAGCTGTAAATGTTTTGGCTTCACTTTTGGGCAGTTATGTCGTCTAGATTTGTATACACTCTGACCCAATGCTGTTTTTACAACACAGGTAAACGAGAAGGACAAGCTGCTGAGTGAGCGCAACCAGCTGAAGGTTTGCATGTCCGATCTTTGGCAGAACCTCTCCTTCCTCTCCCAACAAGTTTGTCGGGAGGTGCAGGGCCCTCAGCCGCCTCCCGTCTCCGACAGCATCGACCTCACATCAAACCCACCATCGCCTTCGTCACACCCGGGCTCATCCAAGTCCCGGTCACCTGTGTCCCAGCATAGCAACACCGCCTGTCTGTCTGAGGGGCGTCCAGGTCAGGGGAGGCCGCAGGATGGGCAGCCTGGCATGCAGAACACACTGGTGCTTGGATCCACTGAGGAAGTATGTAGCCCCACTGTAACGGTGGATTTCTGTCAGGAAATGACTGAGAAATGCACAACGGAGGAGCAGGACTGTGCTTAGAGCCTCGGTGGGCGAACAGTTTGGTCTGTTTCACTTGTCTATACCTTGAATATTTGAAGTATTCTCTTTCTTTTTGTAATGATGACACAAGCGTTGTCTTTTCAGCAATACTGTTAAACAGGTATTTTTGGACTGGTTACAAATCAAAAGCACTGGCAGCTTTCTCTCACTTTCTCTTCATATCTTCTTCTACTTCTTCTTCTGTCTTTCTCTGTCTCTTCCTGACTTTTCCTTCCTGTCCACTTCCTTCCCTCTCTGGTGCATCATGGGAGGTTAAACTCAGGAATTCCTCAGAATGTTAAGTAATGTCCCTGTTAGCGTGTACCAGCACTTTATTTTACAGTCCTGTCAAATCTTGATAATTACATATGTACTTACAATTGATCTGTGGGATTGAATCATAGATTCAATGTCAACATTTTGGGGAAATATGCTTTATTTTTGTTCTTGAAGAGGGTGAAAGATTCAAGAGGAAATTAGTTTTATGTCAGTAAGACTAACAGGATGTGGTTAGCCTAGCTTAGCATGAAGCCTGGAGAAAGGGGGGAAAAAGCTAGTCAGTCTTTCTAATATTAAAAAGAAATCACCTACTTCAAGAATTGTAAGGCTGACTTATGCACAATGCATCTAATTTGTTTAAAGCATACAGAAATGCTTTGTCTTGCAATCTGTGCGCACACATTTGTAAACAGTACGCACAGTTGTGCAAACTGTGGGCACAGTTTACATTGCAAATCCTTTCTCACAGATTGAAAATGCAACCACACAGTTAACAAACTGGCACGGATTTGTAAACCATGCACACAGATTTGTAAACCATGCACACAGATTTGTATATGTACAGATTTGTAAAACGTGCACAGATTTGTAAACTATGCGCACAGATTTGTAAACCATGCACACAGATTTGTACACCATATGTACAGATTTGTAAAACGTGCACAGATTTGTAAAACATGCGCACAGATTTGTAAAACATGTGCACAGATTTGGGCTACTTTCACGCTTTATGCTAAGCTAGGCTAAAAACATCCTGTCTACAGCTCTGTACTTCACGAGCATGAGATAGAAATCTATCTTACATCCATCACCCTGAAAAGAAGGAGCAACAAGAGTGTATTTTTCAGAAAGTTGAACTAATCTGTTAAACTATTGAACAGATAATTTTGAACCAGTAGTTGTTGAGTGACACAGGGCTATAAAGTAAACTGTCACCAAAGGTGTTTAATTATAAAATGTTACATTCGATGAAACGGTCAGATGAACTCTCATTATGCAAAGTCGCTTCTGTCGAGCTTCACTTTTTACTTTTTATTGTTCTCAGACAGACGTTTCCACTCATTTCACAGAGACGGAATCAAAGCACTGCCGACCCAACACATCGTGACGTTGGCACTTAAACGGAGTCTGAAGCCGATCACCTGGTGATCGAAAGATTAAAGGACCATACGGGTGTCGCTTTAATATTACCGATGACCATTTTCCAAAGAAGGACGAAGCATTTCTACCTAAATATTTGTATTTCTGCTCAGTGTGAGGAGCAATATGCAGGAGAGTTATCTGAGCCGGGGATCGTTTTACTGATTCTTCTAAAATAATATTTCCTACTTTCCAAATATTTTCTACCAAGGAGTGACGGTTCCTATAAACGACTTGACTAATCGGCACAGGTTAGTGAGGTGAGTCTGTGCAGATTTAGTCATAAACTCATCAATAAGGACGGATAAAGCAAAGATAATAAATGATCGTGTCTCAGCTGATCCCTGATATTTATTTATAAAAAGGATTAAAGCAGGAAACTATTTCACTTTCACGTGATTCTCTTCAGGGTTATAATTAATTTGTAATATTGATGTGCAATATTTCATAACATGATCATGATTTTGGTGCTCTCTGGGAAACTTTCTTGAAAATTAATATTTAACTTCATAAATGTTTTATTTATTTATAACTGCAGAAGTACAGCTCCTCTTCAGACCACGAGGCCAGAGCTTTAGATTTTTTCTCATTGATTCGTCAACATTTTTAAATCACATTAATTAAAACATAACCTTTACAGTAAACAACTTCACTTTAATTTCAAGGAGGCCAAATTTAACTTTAAAAGACTGTTTACTGTGAAATGAATATTCTCGACCAAGCTTTTCAAACTACGAAGCCCCTGACGTCCAAAAAGTAAAACAAAAAAAAGCGTATTTTGAGCACTAATTCATTTCTTGTGCGCATAAGTTTTTTTTCTTTGCTTTTTGGGACTTCAGAGGCTCTGTAGAAAACCATTTAGCAGCAGTTTAATTTTTTTTTTTTTTTTTTACAGTTCCTGCCGCTCTTGTTTGTCCAGGGACTTTTTGTTCTTCTTCTCTGGAAATATGGAGACTAAAAATGTTCTCATGAATAAGTTCAGATCAGATATTTGAGATAATAATTAAGAAGTGGAAAATTGCCTCCAGCATCTTCAGACTCCCTCAGTAGCTTCATATCAATAACATACATGATCATAAATGGAAAAACATCTTCCTGCATGGAAACAAAAGAACTCTGAATCCGTCTGTTAAACTTTGGAAAATGGATCTGAACATTCAAACACACGTGTGGTCTTTTAATCGACAGCTGACACGAATCAGAAGTGCTCTTTTTGATGCATTTATTTATTGTCTTCTTAGTGGTCAGATTTGAGTGTTGTGCTTATAGTAATCATGTATTTAGCTGCACTGTTCTTGTATTGTACATAAGACAGATATCCGTACAAAACACATGTTTGAGTATGTCGGTGTAAGACACCAACGTTTCCAAATCCACAAACATGAAACGTGAATTAACTCGATTCTCTGCTCACAAATCAGTCTCTCTAACGATGCACGATCTGAAGCTCCAAACAAACACACTGGTGCGTTATTGATCCGGGGTGATGCCAAATTCATCTGCTGCTGAAAAGTCGATGTCGGGGCACGTGGCCGGGGTGAGTGCAGCGGGCCGTCTGCTCTGTTGCTGCCCTCGCAGCGCTCTGCAGCTGCTGGTCACAGAGCAGCACGCTGTTTACAGACTGGAAGCGGTTGTGCTGCTTTTGTTCGCACGGTTTAAAGCAAAGTCACGGACGGATAAATAAAAAAAAGGAATTAACAATATTTATTACATTACCAATTTATACACAACCCTGTTTTCAAAAAAGTTGTGAAGCTTTGAAAAACAAACAGAAACAGGATGTGATGATTTGCAAATATTTCAAACAAATAGAAAATAGCACACAGACAACAGGTTAGATGTGGAAACTGAGTACTGTCGTTGTTGGAAAATGATATGCATGTTTGGATGCCATCAACATGCTTTAGACGACGACATCGTTCTCGTCAAATTCAGAGCGGGCGTTGTATTTTCCACAGCGATGGATTTCCTTTTTCAACATTCGATGTTGTTGTCATCATGTTGTTTTGATTTTTATTGAATATTGAGATCCGTTTGTCAATCACCACATCCTGTTTGTTTACATTTTACAGCGTCCCAACTTTTTTTTTTTTTTTTAGGAACAGGGTTTTAAAACCCCTTAAAGAGGGGGAGGGGAGGGCTGCTGTTTCCATGTGTGACTTTAGTGTCCAGCAGTATCACCATGGCAACCAGAACGAGCTGGAATCGGCTGAGATTCAAAGAATTTCAAACCTGAGTGACACATGAAACGAGCTCAGGACTGTGTGCGGACTGAGATGTATTTAATGCTCTGAGTACACTGAAGAACACTGCGTAGCTGGTTTTCATAGACTTTACTCCTCAATGTGAACACCTTTATTTATTTATTTGGACTCTTGTTGTTGTTTGGGGGGGGGGTGTAGAGGAAAGTGCATAGATGTAAAAAGTAGGTGGCTACCCTTTCTTAGTATTGATTTGTTCATGTTTCTTTTGTTGTAATATTTGAAGGGGTGTGAGTATGTTTACAGTTTTGTGAATAAGCTGTTCTTTTTGCTCTGTAGAGATATGATTAAGACCCGGGGGTTTATGTTTCATGACAAGCTGATTCAGCTCTTTTTTTTTTTTTATGTTGATAAAATTGTGAAAAAATCTGAATCTGACGAGCGCAGCTACGATGTCTTGCCTTACGGAGGTTTCAGCGGCCAAACTGTCACACTGAATGGAAACAAAGGATTTTATTTTAACGACGCTGCAACTTTTACAAACTGTGTGATATTAGAAGTCGATCCCGGCTCTTTATTTGTTTTGGCCGACGCCTCAAGCAGAAAAAGACCAACAGTATAAGTTTCATCATTTCAGGACTGATTCTTTTTCTCTTTTTTTTTCACTTTTCATGAAAGCTTATCTCGTGATGAACAACGTGATGATCTCCCTGTGGACACATGGAGACCCAAAGTGTTCAATATGAAAGAAAAAATCACATCAGAACAACATTTAAAAAGAGGTCTCTCTCTTGAAATAAAAGGTCTCTAATAGAAGACAGAACATTTAGCTTAGTTTGGAAAAAGGCTCCAGATTTACCATTATGACTTTTTATTTATTTATGTGTTTGATTAATATTGACACTGTGGGTTTGCATATGTGGAAAAGCCTCATGTCGTAAACCATCAGAGGTCCAATGGATAAAAGTGAAACCTGTACTCAAAGTATGGAATAATTAACTTTCCTGTCACTGAGCTTAAGAAACATGAAGGCAGACACATCTGAGTGAACATTGAGAAATGTTTCAGACTGCAGGACAATGTGAAAACAAAAACACTCACTTATTTATGTTTCTATTAAGCACTTAAATTAGTCCCAAAAAAACCCGTATGGTTACTATGTGTAACCATGGTTCTCTGAGTGAAGAGATATATTATATGCATATTCCATAAGCACGGGGCTGGAAAGTTTGTGATGCAAAATGAACGCGTCAGTCTGCACTTAAGACCGCGTAGCTACGTCACAATAAAAAACAAGGACAGCAGTATAAGCTTAGCAAGAAATACATAACTCAATAAAAGTTTAGAGTTTCTGCAGGATGATTGTGACGCTGCAGAAAAGATGACAAGAAACTACATTTAAAAAAAATGACAATTCGCAACACAGTGTGCAGCAGGACTTTATGAACCGGGTGTTCAATATTTTAAAAAGTGGTTTACTTGTTGTGCTGCCTGATCAGACGACACTCTGCACATGTCACAATATTTCAGCCTGAGTAAAAAATTCAGTCGAGTTTCTGTGCGGCTGGATATTTTATTGAGCAGTGTTCATCAGGGAGGAGATGTAACGACGAGAAAGAAAGAATTCACTCTGTTTACAAACGGCTTTGTTGGGGCTACTCCAATCCTGGTTTTCATTTGGGACCTGTTTTTTTTTTTTTTTTTAGTTGAACAGACTCTTCAGCACTTATCTACCTGGACGACTCAGCAGCATACCTCTTGTTATGGGTACCGACTGTATGATAGACATTCTGTAGACAGTTTCTGTGACGTGCTTTCTAACTTTTTACAGTGGTTTTCTTCATTGTATTTGTAGGTTTTTTGGTGAGCCATTTTTTACTCGTCATTTTTTTCAGTATCTTTCGAAAACACGACTGTTTTAATGCCGAGTTGATTTCCTTTTTTATCTTTGAATGTTCCAATGACCCGTGTTTTGTTTGGATTTTTTTGTAAATATTGTGCAACATGTCATGTTTTGTTAATTTGATATGAAAAACAGTTTTAAAAGAAGAAAAAAAAAAAGGTTGAGGCCATTTTTTTTTTGTTGAGAAATAAAAAAGAGAAAGCATGAGAAGTCCCGGTGTGCTGTTGGTGTGGATGCTCGTGAAATATGTGCTGACAAAGTGTTTGCTGTTTTGTTAAGAAGCATTTAATCTGAATATAATATAAATTATCATCATTTGTCATGAAATGACGGTATAGAAATGACTTCACACATGTACACAGATTCTAATCATGTCTTGGACTTAGAAAAAAAAACACATTTTAAATCTAAAAAAGTCAGAAGTTACAGAAGCAAATGGATCTTCTGAGGAGTTTGCTCCATAATCCATCTTGTTGTTTCTGCACAATCTGAAAAAATTCAGCCAACACATGGACGGATGTCTGTGAAAGAAACGATACTGTCTGTTAGTACCCACGTGTGGTCCTTTTTAAGGTGCTTCCAAATCCAAAACGTTCTGGGCCTTTGGCACTGAGTTCGCTGTCTCATCAAGACTTATTGGTCGTGGCCTCCGTGTGACTTGATGGATCAATGCTGCCGGCTGGATCATTGATACAGTTTGTGACACAATCTGAGCTGTGGAAAGGAAACCTCCTCCGGCCATGATGTTAGCCTCTTCAGGTCACTTCTTCATGATAGAGGAGATATCCAGAAACATGCTCTGAAAAGAAACAAAGAGTACAGTTTTGGATTAGATTTACATTCAGCCAGGGGCAGCGCCAGGATTTTTAGGGCCACCATGAAAAGATGACATAGGGCCCCTTCACCACAACATCAGCAATACAACCACAACGCCATTACACAGATGACCGCTACAGAGCTTTCAAATAAGGTCATCAAAATCTTCAGCAACAAAATGTTTAAAACAGTAAGTGCATGTTTTGATAATTGAAAACTAGAAATGACCCAATATCAGGTGACTGGAACTTCTATTTTTGTTGCCATGGTTTCTAATCAGGTATCAATATCAAAAAGGTATAAACTAGTATCTTACTGAAGTTTAAATTCTGCTATCCTGACGACTTTAAATAACTAAAACTTTTTGTGCAAATCTATTCTTTTTGGTTAAAAAAAATAATTCTCAAGTTGCATCAGTTTTACTATTAGTTAATTTAGATTTATTTTGGGGCTTTTTGTGCTTTTATTTTAGAGATAGGACAATGGATAGAGTTCCAAATCGGGGAGAGAGAAAGTGGGGGTTGACATGTGGGAAAGGAGCCACAGGTCGGATTCGAACCCCAACCGTCTGCTTGGAGTATCGTAGCCTCTGTACATGGAGCCCACGCACTAACCACTACTATTTCGGCGCCCCGTGATTTTTCCACAAATCTCCATTGTTACACTTTATTTTGTCTTGGACATCCCTCTATCATATCTTATGACAGATTTTTGTTCTGATTCTGTTGCACTACACGAGAGCAATAATTATTATCCATTTGAATTTGGTAAAAGACCATTTATAATCAAATAATTTTGAATATTATTTTGCATTTTTATTGATCTCATCTTTGTGTATGGATCAACAACTGTGTTTATCTACCTGTATTCATACAAATCATTTTGCTTTGTATGTCATTTTTGTAAATATGTGACATCTTTACCGTCATCACATCACCTTCTTTCTCTATTGTTGTTTTTGTTTCATTTTTCAAATGGCCTTTTATTTGTTTGGCCTCCTGTCAAAACTGAAGGGCATTATCTGACAGGACTTCAGAGCCGTTTGATTTCTTCTCAGACTTTCACTGAAAACATTGAATGGAAGCTGCCAACTGAGTCATCATCGGTCTTTGTCCTGATCAACAGGAATTAACTTTCTCTCTCTAACTTTCTCTCTGTCTCTTCTACGCCTCTTGATCGAGACTGTTTATCAAGTCTTTGTGTCTATGTAGTCGTATTTTCTCTTTCATACATTGGTGAGGTTTGTAGAATAAATGCTTCTCCTCATCACTCTTAAAGTGAGCACACGTCAGAGTTTCCCCCCTCGACTTCTATGATATTTCAAATGCTGTAGGCTTATGTGTTAGATTAATAACTAACAAACACAATTAAAGTCATGACTGAAATGGGTTTCCGGTTTAACTCAGACAGTAGAGCAGGCATCCCAAAAACAGAGGCTGCGATCCTTGACACTCTGGTCTCTGGTTTGACAATTTAGTGCATGTGTGCATGTCAACTCTGTCTTTCCAACATTTCCTCTCTCTCTTTAGCTTTGCCTTTCAAAAAAAGCATAGATGCAAAACATTACAAAACAAATATCTAAAAAGTCAGGACAAAAATGGCAAAGGAAACACATGAGGGAAAGGTGTTCTTGTAGGTTCTCAATCATGCAGGTTATAATAATCCAAAATGTATTCCAAAAGGCATCTGGACTTGGTTGAAGTTCTGAAGAAACCTTTTGGACGAGAGGGGAAAAGCCTCAAGAACCTAAGCCAAGTCCAGTTGCCTCTTGGATTAAACTTTGAAACGGGTTGTGGACAAGCTGCTGGATCGTTGGTAACACTCTGTCTTTTATAATTAATCATTTGAGGCTCTTAACTGGTGCTAAATGACAATCAAACATATGATTTTTTCCCCGCCCTTTACTTGCCATTGACATTCTTCGTCCTCCAGGAGGAGGCATCATGGGCATGTCGCCCTGCAGAGAGCCCAGTTCATCTGACTCCTCTGAGGTATGTAAGGAAGGGCTGGTGGAGCCAGTCATGGAGGACAAACTCTCAGAAGGTGGCCTCATCATGAAGCTTGTTTTTCGTGGATTGGGGACTATGACTTCACTTGCTATTGAGTCTCTATGCTGGTCCTCATACAGATCTCTGCCAGCGCTAGGTCTTATGTTGCTACTTGACAGCAGAGCTTCAATATGGCATCTTTGGAGTTGTTGGCCCTCGTGGGGTTCTTCATTATGGATTGTTGTAATCCCCTCTTCATTTGAGACGGCAGAGGACCAGCCTGCATGGTCGTCCACAATGGTTTGACTGTCATGGGTTTGGGGGGCTTGGATGGCACAGTTTTGGCTAGACGTCACTGGCATCCTAGGCTGGGGGCAGATAAAGCTGGTCTGCACCAGATGAGCCAAGCCGTACTGTCCCCGTGAATCGTGGCTGGCTTTGTACCCAGTGTTAAAATAAGGAGACTTCATGTTTGACTCTGGGATCACTTTAAAGGTCTGAGTTAAGGGTCCATTATGAGGTGATACATTACTCATCACACAGAGGTGAGGTAAGGATGTCTTTCTCTTGTTCTTGTAAATCAAACTGTCGTCCTCTGTGTACCTCTCTCCATAAAGAGTCTGTTTGATTTTCCTAATTCCCAGATGGGATATTTCCAGAATGTTTAGGAAAAGTGACACACCAGCGATGATTATCATAAAGACCATGAAGATGGTCTTCTCTGTGGGCCTGGAGATGTAACAGTCTACACTGTTGGGGCAGGGTAGCCTCTCACACTTATAGAGTGGCTCCAGTTGGATACCATAGAGTATAAACTGGCCCAGGATGAAGGCAACCTCCACCGCTGAGCGTGTAAGGATATGGATGATGTAGGTTCTCAGCAGAGAGCCTCTGAGAGGAGCCTTCTTCACCTTCCTCTGCTCGTCCAGCCTCCTCAGCTCCCTCTCCAGACGCTTATGTTCGTCCACTGCCATCTCAGAGTCATCCATCTCGTCTTTCAGCAGGGCTCGTTTCCGGTGGCGCTCCTTCTCCAGTGTCCGGATGCAATAGAGGGCATGGCCCATGTAGACCAACGAGGGCGCAGAGACAAAGATGACTTGCAGGACCCAGAATCTAATGAGGGAGATGGGAAAGGCACGATCATAGCAGACTGCCTTGCAGCCAGGTTGGTCGGTGTTGCAGATAAACTCAGACTGCTCATCGTCCCATACATCCTCAGCGGCAGCCCCCAGGATCAGCATGCGGAAGATGAAGAGTATGGTAAGCCAGATCTTTCCCACGATGGTGGAATGAATGTGGACCTCTTCTAGGATGCTGCCCAGCAGGTTCCAGTCACCCATGGTCAGCTTCTCACCTCTTCAATGCCACATGTCCTCAAACTGTGGAGACACAGCATGCACAACATTTTAACATCAAAAAGCTAGACCACAGGATTGTTATTGTTTGCTAGACAATTGTAAGGGTAAAATAATACTATTTTTAAAGTATGGGCAATCAGTCCCACTAACTAAAGTGATTAATGAGATCTAAAGAGACTGCAACATTGCTAAAACAAATGCTATGTTGTAAAAAAAGACAAAGCAGTCAGAGAGTTTGCACATAAAGGAAGAGCTGAGGCTGATAAGCAACTTATTTACTTGTAGGCAAAAGCAAAAGCTGGTGCAACACAAATGTCATTGATAATATTAAATTGCAATAAAATAGTTGTAGCTAACGTCAGAGTTTGTTCACAACTTCACAACTGACACATCCAAAATGGAGCTTATTGGGTTAGGTAGGCTTCGACAGTGATTGGGCCCAGAGTTGCAACTTTGAATGGGTTAGTGATGGGCCAACATTGGCAACCAAGAGGGACAGCATAGGCTAAAACATGGTCATGTATTTTAGACAGTAAAATATGGTACTGGACGGTCCATAGTTGGACACAATTATGCACAATAGGCCCTATATTGTAATCCATCAAGGGCCCATCATCAACCCATCTGTGCTACGTTTTTCTGGACTCCATGGAAACTGAGGACCAACTGTGCATGGTCTCAGTTGGGTGTACCAAATGTGGCCAACAGATGAGCCCAGGTGAAACCCATATTGAGCCTTCTTGGACAAGTTGGCTTGGCTGCATCCTCTCTGAACTTCAGACTTCTTGTTTTATATTGCCTCATGGCACTTTTGTCAGTGTTCTTGTGATTTTCCAAAAACTAAAAATCTATGTACTTCCTTTGGTGAATTTATTGGTATTATAACCAACAGAATTCTTGGCATTGAACATAGAATAGAACCTGTTGACCTTTAGAAAAATTTAGCGCATTGTGATTAAACTCCATGAATACACCCAAACTCTATGTGATATTTTGTCACTCACTACTCTCTGACCCCCCTGACCTGTGTGTGGCTCTCAGACCCAATCCCATTAGCTTCTGAGGAAAAAAAAAAAGCTCACAAATGTATAGTTTGATTCTTTTTGATTTTCCGTTTTCTAAAACAGTGGGCCTCTAAACACCCAAGAGGGGATTCTCGAGACAATTTCCAGGAACACAGCAGCAGGCCAGTTTTGTTGAATTGGGTCAAATAAACTACTGTGAGTTTATTAATGTAGAATGAAAGAACGTGTCAACCAACCAATCAGCTTTTGGACAACTCCTTGGCTTGGAGAAAGAAATATATACAGGCTTTGAATGCAAACCCACACAACGTCTAAAGGATATATCAATTGTTGAGTTTGGGATTTGTCAACAATTAAAAATGTGTAGATTGTCGGCATAGCAAAAGTAGTTACACAATGAGAATATATGATCAATCATATTAGCCAAATTATAAAACTGATGGGGTTTTGTTGAACATACAAAACAACTGATGATTCTTCAAAGCATCGACAATGGACACTTTAATGGGATTTCTTTAGATTTACTACTTAATTTGAAATTCTGATGTTCTAGGTGAGAAAATGAAACGTTTTTACCCGACTAGCTTTAGAGAATTTGAGAGCAGCTTTGTTTTTCCATTTTTTTAAATAGCACACACCATTGAAATCAAAGCAACAATATGCTCATCCAATCAGGTGTTGGAAGATTCTAGTTGATGTATGACTCAAGGAGATAACTGTCAATCATGTTAGGTACCACAATGTTAAAATCAAGGCCTGTCAAGAGGACTGGTCAGACCAAAGAGAAACACTAGCATTGTGATGCTGAACTATTTATGTGTCCCTATTACAAGGAAATGCTGCCTTAAAACACAATTATAAAGTTAAATCTAATTTTTTAAGGCCTTAAAGAAGCTTCCATGTCCTGCAACAGATTTTTGGCATGCTTTCACCAGACAACCTAACGTACTCATGATAAAAAATCAAGCTGCGCAGTGACAAAATTAACATGCAAATACTTTTTTATGGTGGATTTTTCCATTTGCAAGGGTGACAATGATAGACAGTGAGTTTTTGTATAAGTACAAATTAGGCAGAAACCAGTATTTCCACTAATAAATAAAAGTAACACATTTTTCACACTTTCAGGTCTTCTGTGTGAACAAAACTTGGATGAGTCATTCCTTGAACTTTGGTTTCGCACTCTTTGGGAGAATGAAATCACCGCCACGGACAAGAATCAGGAGCACTTACGTTTGACTAGTACGGGTTCCCTCTTTGTCTCTTGATGCACTTCATTGTGATAAAATATGTATCCCAGTAATTGACCAAGTCTGAGTGGCTACCCCATGGAGGTGTTTGGTGGTCCTCTTGCGTTGGTCCCCGTCCTCCAGCCCACATCCCTCAGCTGTCGTCGGTCTTGTCTCTCTGTGTATCTGTGTGTGTTGTTTGGCTCGCTGTGTGTTGGAGTGCTCTCCCGTGTTACATGGAGGGTTCACAGGATGTGACAATCGATCGCCTCCCAACGGGACAATGTCCCCCAACCCCCTGCCTTCTCCCACGCCAACAGTGCCAACATCAACCAACCGGTGCTGTCAATATCTGCTTCTCTGGCAGAGAGAGGGGATATTTGTTTATGGTTGCTCTTTCACATGCGGCCTCTTTCTGGTGCCCTCAACATAAAGATGTAACTGAGCCAACAGGGAGTCATCAACTCGCTTTCATGTAATGTGGGTAATGTGTTTTAATGGACGCTACAACATACCATCCTCTACACAGCTTCTGCTCTTGGATTTGCTTCGTGCATGTACGTGCATGCACGTGCATGCATGACTGGCTGGCATCCCTGCTGTGATAATTCAATCCAACAGTCTGTACAGACATGTTGTACTGTAAAAGCATTCATGTGAAAAATACTCAATAGTGGAAAAAGAACAATTTACAAGACAGACAAACGATCGGAATTGGTAATTATTTGGGGCATTATTTTAAGCACACAGCAGGGAGACGATGTTAAGAACTAGCAGGCAACGGAGTGGAGCATTTAGCAACAAGAACGGCAGATTTGAAGCTGGTGGAGACCAAAAACAAAGCTTATAAGGGGCAAACACTTTCCTTAATAAACTGGGGGAAATATAAGTCATAAAACACTGAGTGTACCCTTCTAGTAATCGATGTAAAGCTGTTTTGTTCTTTAACCAAAAACAAACAAGGTCAAGATTTTTCTCAAGTTTCTCGGTTGTTGCTTTCCAGGATATTCCCCCCTCCTCAAAACTAAGTTATTTTTTTTTCACTTATCCTATGAAGTTCTGACTTTTTAAATAATATGTCATTAATATAATGGCCCTAAATAAGCTTGATTCAGAAAAGGTTTAGAAAGTTCTACAAAGAGAGAAAATCACTGAAGGTGTTTCTTAATTTACATTTATTTTGCATGCGATTTATTTAAATGCAGTTGATTGAGCTCTCAGGGCCGCCGTACTTTACACTGTTAGAGCAATATTACTCATGCAGACTTTTCTGCAGCACACGCATTAGCTCAGTTGTGTACTGTGTACTTAGTAATGAGGTTTTGACCAGAAGGCACTACTGTTTGTCAGAATACTATCAAACCTTCGCATGACACAGGCTTGAGTTTTAAACATATCGAATGCTGACAGCAGCAGACCGCCTCGCTCAGCGCACAGAGTAAAGCAATAGTACATATTACCGGCTTGATTTGAAAGCCTGGTGCTTGGCTGCATAAAATGACCAGCTGTGCCTGCAGGGCCTTTAATTAGGTTTCCATCGCGCTCTGACAGAGTCAATGGAGCATTGATTTGATTTTCCCTTCAGAAGCTGTGGCTGTGGTCGCTGAAGCCAAAAGCCAGATGTCACACCAGGATCATTGGGTTACACAACCACTGGCTGCTTCAGCACAGGCTCCGCCCCCCCGCTGCTCAGCTGCCCGTAAGGCCGTCGGGGGCAGTGGGCGGGACTTAGTCAACTCATTTTTTGTTTGTTGACACTAGGCCTTAACTAATCAACTTGATGTTGTTGATATCATGTCAGTAGATGTTTAAACAGATCTTGTTACAGAGCTTTTGTAGCAAGTGTTAGAATTCAGCAAAGCACAAATGATATATGAAGCATATGAACTACTTCCAACTAATATTCTAAATATGTTTTCTACAGAGAGTGGGCTTTAGAGAGGGGAGAGGGGAAACCTTCGCCTTGACACTGTGTGCTCCAACAACAATGCAGAGTGTATAACTATCAATGGGGTTGATCTGTGGGACAGTGTGAACATTTTACTCAAGCAAACCAAAAACTAGATTCTGTGGAAGAAAAAATGTCAACAGAGAGGAGACTGTGATATCTGTTTAAGTTTATTTTCCTCTGGCATTGACTCTAGCTGGATATTAACGTTAAAACTAATGGGGTGGGGGTAAAAAAAAAAAAGGTAAACTTCATCCTGAGGTGTATTTTTGACTTTTATCTTTTATTAGATAGGACAGTAGATAGAGTGGGGAATTCAGGAGAGAGAGACAAGGAGCCAAAGGGTTGGACTTGAACCAGGGCCGCCTGCTTGGAGGACTATAACCTCCATACTTTGGGAGCGACCTAAGAGCTTGGCCATCTGAGACCCATCATACTGCTTTTTGAACTGGTAATGTTTGCTTCTTGTTGAACAAAGTAAGTTATAATTTTGTAGGTAAACAATTAAAATCAATTACAAAAACCACTGAGATCCATTAAAAACAATTACAGTTCTATGAATCAAATTCCTAAACTCTGCGAGAGAGGGAAGAGCTTCAGTCTTTAGAGTTTGCTGGAGGGCGTTCCATGAAATCAGGGCACCAAAAGAAAATGCAGTTTTACCAAGTTCCGTAAAAGTACGAGGGACTTTAAGAATGAGCCAATCAGAAGATCAGTTGGGGCCCGAATTCCAGTATAAAGAGGGTTTGTCTGGTTTGACTGTCAACGTTTCAATAAGTAATTTACATGACGTTATTATCACAGCAGCACATGAACAAGAACCGTCTATAAAATTTCAGATTTCTCTTGCTTTAATAACTGGAAATATTTGAGGTTATGTAATTACTCAAAAAATATATACAACATGAGTTTAGTCTCATTTTAATGAATTTAGAAATTTTAATGTAAACATCGTCATACAATTATACATATTGTAAGTTAAAATCATGCACCATTGAATTGGGTTATTTATATGGATTAATTTATGGGAATATAGGGGCAGAAAAGTAACAACACTTTATCTTTGTATATCAGTTTAATATTAACAAATGTAAACAGTCTTCAAACTTTTAGCAAGCTTATGTAAAAATGAACTGTCCCAGTAATATTTAAGCAATATTCTAGTGTATGTAGAGGATGTATGTTCAGTATAAAACGTAGAAATGATTGCATCTATTAAAATACAATTTATTTTTAATAGTTTTTTAGTGATCAGTGCTTTGATTTTATTCCATTTTCTACCTTTGCTGATTAGAGTCTCTATAGGTTGAAAAAAAAAATCCTGTCAGTCTCTGTCCAGTTTTTATTCACTGTCAAGTTGCACTAGTGTCTCTGTGTTCTCATTGGTCTTCAGCTTTGCAAGCTCCTCCTCCAGCATGCTGATTTGCTGCAGCAGCTCCTTCCTGTCCTGCTGGGATCTGAGCTCCGTCTGCTGCTCCACCTCCGTGACCTTCCTCTCGTACCAACGCTCCAGCTGGATGGACACGGTCTCAAAGAAACGCTGAGTCACCTGATGGAGTATCCAAATCAACCAAATCACCAAATCTCGTTAAAATTTTACAAGGAAATATTCCATACCATACCATACAATTCCATACCATTCCATACCATACAATTCCATACCATACCATTCCATACAATTCCATACCATACCATTCCATACAATTCCATACCATACAATTCCATACCATACCATTCCATACAATTCCATACCATACCATTCCATACAATTCCGTACCATTCCATACCATACAATTCCATACCATACCATTCCATACAATTCCATACCATACCATACCATACAATTCCATTCCATACCATACCATACCATACAATTCCATACCATACCATACCATACAATTCCATTCCATACCATACCATACCATACAATTCCATACCATACCATACCATACAATTCCATTCCATTCCATACCATACAATTCCATTCCATAGCATACCATACAATTCCATACCATACCATACCATACAATTCCATACCATACCATACAATTCCATTCCATAGCATACCATACAATTCCATACCATACCATACCATACAATTCCATACCATACCATACCATACAATTCCATTCCATACCATACCATACCATACAATTCCATACCATACCATTCCATACAATTCCATACCATACCATACAATTCCATTCCATACCATACCATACCATACAATTCCATACCATACCATACCATACAATTCCATTCCATACCATACCATACCATACAATTCAATACCATACCATACCATACCATACCATACAATTCCATTCCATACCATACCATACAATTCCATTCCATACCATACAATTCCATACAATTCCATACCATACCATACAATTCCATACCATACCATACCATACAATTCCATACAATTCCATACCACACCATACCATACCATTCCATACCATGATACAAAATGACTCAACATATGTTATTAAAGTTTTCATCATGTCTTTTTACGACTGATATTGGTTGTTCTTTATCTTGCACTATTTCCACTGATTTTCATTGTTTTTCAGACAATCTTTGGCTATTTCCTCTTTTTGAGTAGAACTTTATTGTAACTGATTGAAATAATCACCTTCCTAAAGACATAACACTCCAATCAAAAAAATAGGCATTGAATTTTCCTCGTAGGCTCTAAGAAAAATGTTATCAACATGTTTCCTTGATTGACAGGTCTAATTAAAACCACTTCCTGCTACCATCTTATTTACCCTCACCTCCTTGGCATGGAGGTTGTTCCTCTCCTGGATGAATGTGGGCTCTACAGGATGGTCAATAAAGAACTCCAGTGTCCTGGTTCCCTCCGCATGGATCCCTGTACGCCTGCGGCCGCTCATTAGCCCTGCAAACTGGTTCATTTCAGAGCTTTGATCCTGATGCTGGATCAGTCTGGGTGCCTGGTTGCTGATGCTGGACCAGCTGCTGCTGCTGGTGGAAAAGCCCTCCCCCCTGCACAGAGCCGGCGCTACAGGACCGTCCTGCACTCCCGGAGGCTGCCAGAGGGGTTCCACAGAGCCCAGCAGGAGGCCGGAGGTGTTCTGGGCAGGCAGAGGAAACAGCGCTGTGTTTTCATAATCATCTGATAAGAGAGGGAGGGGGGTACAGAATAAAAGATCAGTACTTTCCTTGCTGAATGACCCTTTGAAATGGTCTGCCTTCATTACATTTTTTTTTACTTACCTGGTGACCTGTCCACTTTCATTTCAAAATACGCCCCGTTCTGCTCCTGTTCCAGGATTTCCAGACTGTGAGAGGATCTAGACGGTAGGATGTTGACGTAGGTCGCCAGCGAGGTGCTGCTGTCTCCAGGAATGACAGACAGCAGGGGGAGGGACTCCAGCTCAGTGTCGCCCGCACACTGCTCCACGGATGGTGAGGGGAGGAGTTTGTAGTACTTGGTTTTGGCGGGGACGTGCACCTCCATGTCCTTTAGCTGGGACAGACACCACCTCTTCAGGTCATGAGACACTGCTGCCTGCTTGAGAAACATCAAACATTTACTTAGCCACAGCAAATACTCCTCAGACCTCAAAGGGCAATTCATGTATTTTTCAATCTTGGTGTAATTTTTTTAAATTTATCTCTGAAAACCTTCTTCGAATGTAAGTATTTGAATTGCTCGAGAAGTCAACAGCTTTGAAACCGGCTGTAAGTCATCGTTGGTGGCTAATTTCCCAACCAAAATATTTCCACTAAAAGTTCTTGTTTATATTACTGACAGGCTCGGATGGTTATTCTAAGTGTCTGACAACATTGCAGAAAGGATCCTACAGAATTAGATCTATTTGTTAGAGGGGGATCCTAAACAGCTGTTACCAGATTCTACTGACAAAAACACTCATTTGACCTCCCAGAGTTCAGGAGTTACTGGACAATCATGGCCTCCATCTGTTTGTGTATTTGTTTTGTGTTATTATGACTTTGGTGTTAAAATGGTTCTTTCAAATCCAAATGTTTAAATGAACATCTTCCTCAAAGTGTGTGTATAAATGAATCAGGTTCTCTGTACCTGTTTGGAAGGTTACACAGGTAAACATTCAACCAGGTCTTTGCAGTCATTCCTGCATATACTGTAGAGAAATCAATTGTCAGCTGGAGGTTTATCACCTCTACCTGTGTCATCAGTGTTTCCTCCCTCCCCTGAGCCACTCTCTGTTCGATCCTGTAAATCATGTTCCTCCTCTCTGCCGCGGCTCTTTCTTGGTTCAGCATGTCCAGAACTTTGATCTGAATAAAATGCAAAAAAAATCTGAGCATTAAAAATACGCTTTGTGCTCGAGACAGAAAACACTGATGGCTTTTAGTGCAGAAGCCCTAGACCCCTGTTCAAAATGATGTAAACAGCATCAAGTCATCAAGACTCCATTTCCGTCTGCAGCAGAGGTAGGGATGCTTTGTGTTACACGTTGTGAGTGTGTTTGGAGACACTTTCTTTTGTACTGATTTGTGCAGGTTAAGAGCTGCAGAAGCTGCACTAAGCTTTTCTGAATTTGCCCCTAAGGTGAAATGGTGAAGTGAGAAGAGAAGCACCTGGTGTCGGTTCCTGCGGTCCATCTGTCCCAGCCTGCAGCCGACCTCCTCCTGGACGTTCAGGATGTGCAGCCTCATCTCCTCCTGTGTGGCTTTCAGCTGAACCTCCAGCTTCTGCAGCAGCGGCTGACACTGACATCCATCAGCTGGAGCCTGAAGAGAGTCACATCAGCAGGAAGAAGGCCACAGAGTAACTCAAATTATAGCTCATATTATGTTTAACGTTCTCATTCTTCTGGAAATGTCTAATCGCCTTCCTTTACCAAAAACATCTGTAGTAAGTAAAGAATCATCTGTAACCTGTTTGATGTTTCCGTCCTTGTCCCGATACAGAGAGTAAAGCTGGAACGTTTTTCCATCCAGAGCAGGACTAACTTCATCATCATCATCCCAGAGTAGATCTTTCTTAACGTGGACGTCCTTCTTTGTTTTTCTCCGATCGACATCTTCATTCACAGCCTGCAAAGTATTTAACGATGAGAAATTTTTTATGATAATGATGAAATGAAAATCCTCTTTTTTTAATCAATAATGATGTTTTTCCTGCCAGGTAAGGTTTCTGTGTGCAGTCGGCGTGAGCTGATGTAGGAGATCACAGCAGGAAATATTCAGGAAAATCATCACCAGCAGGTTGGAAGGGGTGAGTTAGAGGTTTTTTTTATCCTGAGACCAACCCACAGCCAAAGACTGTGCATGTCTGCGATGCAATTTCAGTGCATGCAATGAAACTGCTTCACCATTTTCCTGTATGTCACTATGTTTGTCTCTGCTTTTTTGTTGCTATGGTAACGATGTCTTACTATCTGATATACTTGGATGTAAAGGGAAAAACTCTGATCATAGAGTTGGACTCTGAGTCTCGCCTCCTCCTCTTCTCGTCCGACAGGGAGGAAGCCTCCAGCTGTGAGGCGCATGTGTGAACAAGCTAGTCAGGAAGATTTCAGCAGCAGTCTGCCTAAAAACAGCGTCAGATAAATGATCAAATATTACAAAAATGATCAATAATGAAGCCTCGCTGCCTAGTGGGATGTTTAACAGGCGCTGCTGTATTGGAGTGACATGACTGAAAGCGTCACAGTAGAACACCTGTTGGTCAAACTGTTTCTGACTCACCTGGACCCTGACTCTCCTCCTCCGCCGGGGGCTGCAGGGGTTGCTGACAGCAGCTTTGGTTTTGTGGTTTTGTTGTTTCCGTTTCTTCTGTCTGCGAGGACTCACCTGGACGCCCGTTTGTTCACTGCTGCAGTCCTGCACACCACGCACGGACCAAGATATTTCCATCAGGAGAGACAAGTGATTTAAGAAATGATTTATTACAATGAATTACATGGAACTGGGACTTGACAGAAATCCTTGGACTCTATGGGGTTGTTGACGTGTTTGGACAATGACACTTCTGAGCGTCGATAGAATAAATTCCCCCCATGGAGTCCAGTTGGTGAGACCGGATGGGTGAAGAATTGATGGATGATGATCCTGTGAAGACTGGCGGTGTTGGGGAGATGGAGGGGCACACGAAACATCAGCATGAAGGAACTAAAGGCAGAGAAAGGATCATATTTGAAAGGGGAGCCAAACGATGATAGGCTGACCATGAGGGAGGAACGCCATGCCATTGGTGAGATGAGTACCGCTGACGAGACAGCTGATTATCCAATGACAGCCCCAGAAAATGACAGCCCGAGAATGACAGCGAAAATGTGAGTGAGAGTGCAAAAAGGGATGCATGAGAGAAATGAAGGCTATTATAGTCTTTATTGGTGAAATTAGTCAGAGTTTGTGTGTGTGTGTGTATGTGTGTGTGTGTGTGTGTGTGTGTGTGTGTGTATTTTCTTACTTTGTTTGGTAGCATTTCCTCCCTGGGCTCAGACTGAGTCCTCCTCTCAGGTTTCGGTCTCTCTCTTTGTTTCTTGATTGTTTTCCTCATGAAGCGATGAACCTGAAGACAAATGTAGAAACACAGAAACAGCCTGTTCTGAGCAGGGCTGAAATAGAGGGGTTTATAGACATGATCACATACAGGATCAGAGTGGATGTAGAACTCTGAGAGCTAAACTGGTTGAAGAGGAGGAGAATATGTGAGCTTTAAAATAAATTTGGATTCTTTAGTAAATTGTCTCAAAAAGTGCTGCATCCTTCCCCAGTCTCTTCAAGAAGTCTACAACTACAAACTCTGGCTAAACCAGTTAAAAAGCTCAACTTATAATAAAATAATCACACATTACGAACACTCTTATATTCTGTGAGCCATCAAATACTAAATACCAACAAAAAAAAGTCCTTGTCCACGCTTGTGATGAAGATACCGACCTGAGGAGCTCTGGCCAGGAGAAGAGCGACATCTTTGTGGTTGTTATCTCTGGCTTTGTCCAGAGCTGTTTTACCTGCCTGATAGTGAACACAACATTATTAAAACTCACTGAAAGTACATCTGACACATGTTTCCATGTTTGTCCCCGATGCCAAGACACAACCATCGGACTCATTCATGCACGGCCTGCTCCGACCTCCACCTCAGCGGCAAGGAAGTGTGGACAACAGGAACGCAAAGAATACAAAGGAGAAATCCGTCTTGCATCTTACCCCATTTTTCTTTTGTAACATAACAATGAGTAAGGTCCTTCGCCTTCCTTTTTTAAAACATCTCAAGAGAACACTTGTTATGAATTCATGGCGCCACACAAATATTGATTGATTGATTTATATTTCTTATCATGTTTATTTCTGCATCCTTGGCCCCCCCTCACTGCTGCACTTTTGTATGTATCTTTTTAATATTTAATGTTGTTCAAAGAGAGTAAAGTTAACCAGGGTCAGTCTTTGTATGTGCTCTCATACCTGGCAAATAAAGCCGACTTTAGGATTCATAAAGTGAGGTATAGCGCCCACTCGTTTCTGCAACACCAAATTTGTAAGGCAGAGAGGGTCTAAAAAGCAACAACGAGAGTGCAGTATGGGAAATGTAGGATCCTTTGCTTCTTGTGGTTTACTCATGCTGGGACCTAAAGTCTGAATTTGGCGCCCTCTGCTGCACAGAGTTTGAACCGACTTCTCTTGTTACATCACAAAATTTAAACAATCAATACTGAATTAGTGGACTGTGAAAACAACCAATAACATCAGACTGTTTCTGAAGCCTTGACGGGGAGAGGCGTGGATGTTCTGAAAAAATGTTCAGACTTTGAAATCTAAAAATGAGGTGAGACTGACGGTTACATCAGTTGTATCAACATGAGGATAAAGTAGGCTGGGTCAGACGCAGTTATTCTGCTCATATGGGGTGCTCACATTGTTCCTGATTTTCCCATCAGTCCCCGCCTCCAGTAAGATCTCCACTGTCCTCTTGTGGTTCAGAGCTGCAGCCACATGCAGAGCCGTGTCCCCTGACTGCAGGAAAACAAGGACAGAATTTATTTACCGGTACAGGAAACGTTCTAAACAACACTTTTATATGTATTTGTTTGCTTCAAGTTATTTGTTGTTTAAAATGTCAATAATGAAGATTCAATATTCTTGCAAAACTTTTACTGCTTCCTAATGATGCTCCACAAAACAATACAATAATTTACTGTAGTTAACCCTCTTTTTGTCTTCCAGTGACTCCTCTCGCTCACATTCTGTACCTGGTTTCTCTCGGTCACAGAGCACAGAGAACTAAGCAGGATCTTCACCAGAGTCAGGTTGTTGTAACGAGCAGCAACATGCAAACACGCGTCACCCATCTGCAACCGAAACAACACAATCATTTGTTTCAAGTTTTCAAGCAATACCAAGTCTGCAGTGTGTTACTGTGGCACTATCGCTCACTTTTAAAGGTCACATTCTCCTCCTCTTCAACCAGTTTAAATAAGTCGCAGAGCTCCTCAAAACATGTCTGTACAGTTTCTTGTTCTAAATCCACTCTGATCCTATATTTGATCATGTCTATAAACCCCTCTATTTCAGCCCTGCTCAGAACAGGCTGTTTCTGTGTCTGTACCTTTAAATATGTAAATGAGCTGTGTCTGACCACACCCCCTCTCTGAAAGGGCATTTGTGTCTCAGGCTTTCTCACTCCATGTCCTATTGTTTGCTGTGATAAGGCAGACTCAAAGGGCAGAACAAACACCTAGCTGTGGGAGTGTCACCCACCTGGGGGAGGGATTACTGCCCTTTGTGATGTCATGAAGGGAAAAGCTTCAAACCTTGAATTCTAATGACACACCATGTTGTTCTCTGAGTGGAGCTCAGTACAATGGGATGTCAGAGGACTCACGTTGTTCTTGGTGTCTGGTTTGGATCCTTCGAGCAGCAGGAGGCGAGCGGTCTGAGCGTGTGCGTTCTGACAGGCCAGGTGGAGGGCTGTGTTTCCTGCCTGAGACAAAATCACACTGTAACTGCCCCTGGTCAGGGTAGGGTTAGCCTAACCATAAAGCCATAAATATTGGTTTAATTGTCCTACCTATTCCTTATGTGGACGTCAGCTCCTGCCTTGGTCAGCAGTTTGACGCAGTGAGTGAAGCCGTGCCAGGAGACCTCGTGCAGCGCCGTGTTTCCGTCCTCAAACACAAAATTAAAACAGTTTTTCACATTGCAAACCAAACACACAAACACGTGTGCAGCTGGTGCTGGATTGTAAAGTATACAGGTGTGCCAGAGCTCACTTTGTCCTGCAGGTCGACAGCGCAGCCCCCCTGGATCAGAGCAGCCATCGTGTCACTGTTTCCCACCGTGGCGGCCCGGTGCAGGGCGGTCAGGTGACCACGACCCGGGTAGAACGAGGAGGGGACGTGGACCAGAGCTTGCTCACACATCACTACTCACAAACACACACAGACACACACACTAACATTCAGGCACAGAACTGTTTTTGTTGTAACTCTAAAATTTCAAGTTCTTACATTTTCTACTCACCTTCGAGAAGACGACTGCAGCACGGCACCGCTCAAACGTGATGTATATTGAATTTTCTGTTGCAAAAAACTTAAAACGTTTGAACATTACAGAAACAGCACGAAGAACCGCTCAGGTGCTTTGTAGGATTTTAGCTTTGGAGATATACACTGTGGTTGATGTGCGCTCAGGATCACGAGGAAAGTCTATAAACTCACCTAGAAACACAGCTGCTTCTAAGATGTAATCAAGCCAGAATTTAAGCCTTTCCTTCTCACTCACTCATTGCCAGATTGTTCTTTACCTCCAATGCAAGACTCTCCAGCACTGTCACTTGGATTAATTCCCTGTTGCCGACCCTGCCTGCCTCTAACAAGCCGGCCTTTTTGTAATCTCTGAAATAGCCTCAACCTTCTGTCCTGCATGGGGGAAAGTTCTATCTCTGCATTCCTGGATCCTGTCTGCCTCTCCCTTAAGCCTGGCTCAGACTTTAAAATGTTGACGAGTACATCATGACATGGTCTGGTGGAAGTCGTGTGTGACTACAATTAACCGCGAGAGACGAGGGAGGACAGAAATAAGTGGACAATAGTGGAGCCCGTCAGCAAGATGCAACCCACACAAGTGAGCTGGACTTCTGTAATGTATCTGACAGTTACAATCTCACCTCCAGCTCTTGATGAAGAAAAGATAATCCATGTTGTCCACTTCCCCCCCTAGACATTTCTTCACCCAAATGTTTCTTTCCTCTCTGCACATAGCATCACAGCAATCGCAAATTTAACTGCCAGCTCTATTGTTTAAGTGAGGAGGTGCGTTCCTCCGTCGGGCATGATAATCTTAATAAAATCCTGTAGTATGTGATGTGCCGTGATTTTCATATCCTTTAGTGTGTGCAAGCTTCAGATTATGGAGAATAATATCTGTTAAGATCATCCTTATGTGTGATGCTACCTGTCATACAAGTCAAATATGATTTTAAATCTCCTGAAGTCTGAGCCACACTTTGGGCTCTTTGGCTTTTACTTTACTAGCCAATCACAGTGACACAGTTAGGAGAGTGTTTGGGTTGCTTAGCAACAGTCTTTTCCTCAATTGGAATGCTCATGCTGCTTACTGTACCACTTTAAATATTACGTGGGATTAAAGGATCAAATTGTTTTCATAATAATATATCTTATACCTGTCACATGCACACACCACTAACATGTTGCTATAAAAAACACACTGACCTGAATCCTCTCTCTCTCTGTCTGTCTCTCCTGCTCCTCTCTTCAGGGTTCAGCAGCAGACCTAACGACAAAGGATTTCATGTAAAGACAGCAGAGTTTGAGCTCACAGGCAGATTATTCTCTACACTGAGGGTCAACTGTTAATCTTTACTGACGATTATAGAAAGTCTTCAACCCGCAATGTGTGGAAACACAACACTCAAACACTCTTAACTCTGTTCTCAGCAAATAAACACACAGGGATCAATCACATCTTTACCCATGTTTATGTTTCTTTATTCTTAATTCCACACAGTAAAAACTAGCGGTGTTTATTTGTTTGCATCTAGTGTTGCTGTGCAGCGTGTAAATAGTCCCTCAGTTTAACTAAAATATATGTCGTATTCTCCTTTCCTAGCGATGGGAGTGACCAGAGGTGCTGCTTGTCAAAAGGCAAGGCAGGCAACTGCTTTGGGCCCCAGACCAATAGGGCCCCCCACAAGGGCTCAGAAACTTCCTATAGCAACAGCAGTGGCTCAAAGTGTGCACATTTTGCAATGACAGTCCCTAAGGGACCATCTGACAGCACTCCCTCTCCATGCCCTGCTAATCATCGCATGCATGTTTGCTGTAAAACCAAAGTTTGTCAGTGAAAGTCAGTGAGGGAAAATGAAGAGGAATTATGGACAGTATGTGGGAGTGAAAAGAGAAGCGTCAGGACTCTAGCAGACATAATGGTGATGAACACTAGTTTTAATAAATGTTTCACTGTATCAAAAATACATTTTCTTATTGGTATAAACTGTGTGGGGATGATTTTTTTTAAGGCTAAGAGTTATTTAATATTTTGCATCATTTGGGGCGTGGTTGATTTGACTGACAGGTGGGCGTGTTGTAGACTTGTCCCAGGAGGCTAAAAGCCTGTCTCAGCACCACCTCTTTGTTTATTTCTATAAGTGAGATGGAGAAAGCATTTTTAATATGGTGACCAATCCATAGCATCCTGATGAAAGTTATTCCTCAGAGGGATTTTTATACAAAAGAGGCTGCTGTTTTAGAAGAAACTCATTTCATTTGACTCTTTTCTAATGCTGAACCCCTCTTAAACGTAGGACTACATTATAACTCAAGGAAGAAAACTTGAGTCCCTCCCCTCTCCTCTAATGGAAGACCATTAGTAAGAGATCTTATAGAGGGGACAACACGAGCAGATTACAGACACAAAATCCTGCTTTGGTTTTCAAATTGGCTCTGTATGTTGCTTCAAGAAGAATTTAAAAAACTGTCAACCTTTTTACCTTTTAGCAACAAAAACAAAGTTGCAGCTTTGCAGAATTTAATTGAAGATTTTGCCTGGAGAATCATCATTTTTGTTCGGATAATGTACAGCTTTTCCTTGTTTGTCCACAGAAAAAAATGCAATAATTTACCTTTATCTTCATGGAGCCTGCAGACCTCTGTCACTGGTCATCGTAGGGAAAAGGAGCATCCATGTAAAATCCAAACAAGCCTTTCAAAGAGCTGCTATGTGTGTGTGAGAGTGTGTGTGTGTAAGAGGATGATACCGCAGAAACAACAACAGGCTAAATACTCAGAGTGTGTGAAGAGGAACAGAGAGGGGGCCAGCTGTTACTGTGCATTAGAGCTCAGAGAGAGAGAGAGAGAGAGAGAGACATACATCTACTACAAACCTTTAACCCTCCATCTGCACACGCTCACTCTCATGAAACGCTTTAATCGTGTCTATGACCTTGTTTTCTGTGATCCAGTCTAAAGTTGCACACCGTCTTGAGAATAGCGTATTTTGAGTCTCCTTTACACACACACACACACACACACACACACACACTGTATTGGCGTGTAGTGAATCTTTCAGCGTGGATTAGGATCAGAATCCTCACATGAAATCTCTGGATTACCCGGCTTTGATCGGAGAGTTCTTCTTTTAATCTAATCTTTTGTTGAACATGAAAAAAATAAAAATAAAAAAATAATAAAAAAGAAGAATTATCTGTCGGGGAGTTAAAACAGAAAGAGAGAAAGAGGAAGAGCATGGGGAAACTGGTTAACATTATGGAGATAAATGCTGGTTGGAGGGGCCCCTAATCAATGTTTGCCTAGGGCCCCAACAGACCATAGAATCGCCCCTGGATATCCTTTTTTATTTAGGAAGTCATTATTCCACAATATTAACATTTTTGTTAAATTAATATTCAGAATCTCTTTAATACCTTAAACATGACTGACTTTAATTTGTTCTGATTGCTGCCGGCCTACTGCCTTTATTATTAAATGTCTGTTTCATGATGTATTTTTATATTTGGGGATTTTTGGAAGTGCTGTTTTAAAAATGGATATATCAAGAAATGTAACTCAACTTCTTTCACTTGAGATTTCATCTCACTCAATCCCAGCAGTAGGCTGTGACAGCCCCCCCCCCCCCCCCTCTCTCTCCCCCCCTCCCCTCCTGTCAGTGTGGCTGCAGTGTGTCCGAATGGAGGCAGGGGGTGTTGGAAGTTCACCTTCATGGCTGTCACGTATCAAATGACAATGTAGGAAAAGTTTCGCAGCAGAGGCAGCGGAGCACAGACAAAGACTCGAGCAGCAGAAATGTCGGGGCACAAAGTGTCAGCTGTGAGCGGGGAGGAAGAGGAGGATGAAGCTCTGGGATATTACGACGACGAAGACGACCTGGAGGCGTTTTCCGAGTCTGAGCTGGGCTGTGAGGACGGAGGTAGGCGGATATTTGAGCTGTTTGGAAGGTCACACTGCTGCAGGAACACTTGTCTGATAGTGGAACTGGCACCAGTCGGACATGTCTCTGAAACCGAGTCCACCCTCTCTGTGAGGATCTTTTAAAAGTAACATGTAAAGAGCTGAACTCAAGCAGCACATGCCATACAAGTTCTAAAAACAGACACTAAGAGTTGTGGTCACGCGGAGGAACACTACACAAATCTGACAGATTTTAAACTCGTACATTTACGAGAATAAAGTCGTAAACAATGAAGTCGTAAACTTACGAGTTTAATCTCGCAAATTAACAAATTCGAGACCAGCCTGCGCGAAAATGATGAAAGTAGAACTCTTAAAGTATTTAAAGAATAAAATAATAAAATCGTTATTATAGTCTAGGCCTATAT